AAAAAAAACTTAAAAGATTTGGTAATAGCTACTGATGGCAAAGGTGTGGATAGATTAGCACTCTAGCGAATGATTTTTGTTGTATGGTATAAATTGCTATGACTATTAATGGAAATGCTTTCACAAATAAAAGGGTGGTTACCCTTATTCAGCTATTCCACTTGCAGAAATTTAGCCTCAGGTAAATAATTAGACAAATGCTCGAAGATGTGAACTTACAAGGATATTCATTGCTGATAATAGGGGGAAACGTGTAAACCTTAAATTCTTGTCATTAGAAAATTAAAATTTAGCACCTCCATGATAAAGTTGATTACAGGTAAGATCAGAAGGGAAAAAAAGTTATATTCATTTTAAAATAAAGTGAAGTTCATAGTTAGATGATTAATTACTAAGGTAGTTTTCATGTCTATAATTTTGATTTTTGTGTAACTTCTCAGGGATATGGTCAGCAGTTCCCTCAATAGGTAGCCAGTTTATTCTTATGCCAACAGAGTGATAAAATTCCATATTTAGCTAAATGTGCAATGTCTTCTTTCACTCGTTTCTCATTTACGTAGGGGATTGGCAAACTTTTTCTATAAAATGTCGAATAGTAAATATTTTAGGTTTTGCAGGCCATATGGTGTCTGTCATACGTCCTCATCTCTGCCATCAGAGCACAAAAGCAGCCATAGGCAATAGGTAAATGAACAAGCATGGCTTTGTTCCAATAGAACTTTATTTATGAACACTGGAATTTGAATTTTGTATAATTTTCAAGTGTCATGAAATAGTCTTTTTATTTGTTTCAACCGTTTAAAATATCAAAGTCAGTCTTAGATTTTAGGCCATCAAACATAGCAGACTGGATTTGGTATTGAGGCCATAGTTTGCCAACCTCTCATTTAGGTAAATCAAAGAGCAATCAATTTATGCCTCAAAATGATAAATTATATTTTGAGGAAAATGCTTTACCTGATTACCATAGAAGAACGAATAACTTGATGTGTTTCAAACTCTCATCATGATGCTAGGCAACTTACTACCATGTTTTCCTTTCCGAAAAAAAAGACATTTTATAGTACTAATCACAGCAAAATCTAAAAGTGATCAGAATTCTGTATGTGGCTTAAAAAATTCTATAAGGTAGAAAAATAATTTTTACAATAGATTCTGGTTAATATTTTTAAAGGGAAATGTTTTAGAATTTTATAAAGATCATGATAGCGGAATTTTAGTCAAATAAACAGATACTGCATACATGTACATTCAATTCATCTATCATACAATTCACCCATTTAAAGTATACAATTGAGGGGTGCCTGGGTGGCTCAATCAGTTAAGTGTCCCAACTCGGTTTTCGGCTCAGGTCATGATCTCACAGCTCGTGAGTTTGAGCCCCGCATCCGGCTCTGTGCTGACAGCGCAGAGGCTGCTTGGGATTCTCTGTGTCCCTCTTTTCCTGCGCCTCCTCTGCTCTCTCTCTCTCTTTCCCTCTCTCTCTCTCTCTCTCTCTCTCTCTCTCTCTCTGTCTCTCAAAAACAAATAAATAAACATTAATATATAAATAAATAAGTAAATAAATAAACAAAGTGTACGATTGAAATGTGCCTGGCTAGCTCAGTCAGTAGGCATACAACTCTAGATCTTGAGGTCGTAAATTCACGCCCCCTGTTGGGTGCAAAGATTACTTCAAAAACTAAAATAGAAAAAATATTTTAAAATAAATAAAGTATATAATTCAGTGGCTTTTAGCATATTCAGAGTTGTGCATTCTTCACCACAGCCAGTTTTAGAATATTTTTACTGTCCTGGAAAGAAACCCTACACCCTTTAAGTGTCACTCGCTTTATTCAATCTCCATCCTAGGTAACCACTAATCTGCTTTTTGTCTTTATGGATTTGCCTATTCTGGACATTATTCATAAATGGAATCATGCAGTATCTGTTCCTCTGAGACTGGCTTCTTTCACTTCATAATGTTTTCAAGGTTCAACCATGTTGTCACATATATCAATACTTAATTTCTTTTTATTCCTAAATAATATCCCATCTCTCTGTCTCTCTCTAGCACACTCTCTCTCATTCCCTCCCACTCTCTCCCTCTCTGTCTGTCTCTCTCTCACACACACACGTGCACACATACACACCCATACATCCATTCATTAGGTGATGGATATTCAGGTTGTTTCTACTACATAGGTATGTAAGTTTTTCTCTTTCTTTCTTTCTTTCTTTCTTTCTTTCTTTCTTTCTTTCTGTTTTTTAAATATGGATCACTTCATGAGTTTGCATGCTATCCTTGCGCAGGGGCCATGCTCATCTTTGTATTGTTAGAGGGTTTTTAGTGTATGTGCTACCAAAGCAAGCACAGTGTTCAAGTTTTTGTATTAATGTGTTTTCATTTCTCTTGGGTATATATGTATATCTAGGAATGGCATTGCTAGAGCATGTGGTAATTCTATTTGAGGAGCTGCCAGATTGTCTTCCAAAGCAGCTGCACCATTTTATGTTCCTACCAGCAAGTGTTTGAAGGTTTTAATGTCTCCATACCCTCACCGCTATTTGGTATTATCTGTCTTTTTGAGTATAGCCATCTAGTGGGTATGGAGTGGGTATCTTATTGTGATTTTGATTTGCTTTTCCTTGATGTCTAGTAGATATTGAGCAACTGTCTTCATATGCTTTGGCTACTCATATGTTCTTTAGGAAAATGTCTGTTCAGGTCCTTTGTGTATTTTTGAATTGAGTTATATTTGTCTTTTTATTACTGTGTCATAAGAGTTCTTTATTCTTGATACAAATCCCTTACCAGATGTACGATTTGCAAAAAAAAAATTTTCCCATTTTATGGGTTGTATTTCTACTCTGTTGATGGGTCCTTTGAAGCACAAAAACTTTTAACTTTGATGACGTCTAGCTTATCTATATTTTTCTTTTGGTGCTTTTATAAATGTGTTTTAACACTGGTATCCATGGGAAGCCTCGTGTCATAAGCAAAAATACCCATTCTTTATTTTATTTTATTTTTTTACTGTTCATTTCTTTATTTTGAGAGAGAGAGAGAGAGAGAGAGCATGAACCAGGGAGGGGCAGAGAGAGGGGGAGACAGAGAATCCCAAGCAGGCCCTGTGCTTTCAGCATGAGCCCAGACACAGGGGCTCAAACCACAAACTATGAGATCATGACCTGAGCTGAAATCAACAGTTGGAGCCACCCGGGTTCCCCACCCATTCCTTATTTTAAATATTTGTATTATTGGTGAAATGATACACCTGCACTTAATTTTCAGTCAAGAGAGGAGAGCAGAAAGCAGGCTCTTGCAGCTAAAAGAGAAAAAAGGAAAGAAAAGAGAAAAAAGAAAAAAGAGGAGCAGAAAAGGAAACAGGAAGAAGATGAGGAAAACAAACCTAAGGAGAATTCAGAACTACCAGAGGATGAAGATGAAGAGGAGAATGATGAAGATGGTAAGAAACGACTTTTTCAAATTAATGATAAAATTCTGTTCATCAACTTCATTCTGAGTACTTTTTACTCTAATTAATTCTAGTTAGATATTCATTATTTTAATCTGGAATTGACAACTGGCTTTCATAGTAAATATTTCTAAATAATTTACATTGTAAAGTGATAGACACAGAAAGGGTAAAGGCAAGCATGTAATTTGAAGTTTCAGTTGTAATTTAAGTCCCTTTGTAAAACATCATGTATGTCCTACATGTAATACAGTAAAGAGATTTGCCAGCTTCTGTTCAGGTTCTTCCCTACCCTTTCCTCCTCCATTTGGAAACTGGGGAGAGATCCAGTTCCTCAATAAATTTTGAGCTAAGACTTGGGCCCAAAGCTATACAGGTTCATTATTCTCAGAGTTGTTTTTTGTACATTCTAGTAGTGTTTGTAATATGCAAATAATTGTTCTCTATTTGAATTCTAATTCTAAAATACTATGTGAAAATTTCCCTGAATTTAAAATTTTTAATTAAATTCCCGTTTGTTAATATACAATGTAATATTAGTTCCAGATATACAATTTAGTGATTGAACACGTCCACACATTACCTGGGGCTCATCACAACAAGTGCACTTTTTAATCCCCATCACCCATTTAACACATCCCCCCCCCACCTCCCCTCATCGACCTCCCCTCTGGTAACCATCAGTTTGTTCTCTATAGTTAAGAGTCTGTTTCTCGGTTTGCCTCTCTTTTTTTCCCTATGCTCATTTGTTTTGTTTCTTAAACTCCACATATAAGTGAAATCATATGGTATTCGTGTTTCCGTGACTTAGCATAATACTCTCTAGCTACTAATTCAAAGAGATCCATGCACCCCAGTGTTTACAGCAGCATTATCTACAGTAGTCAGACTAAAAATTTCCCTGAATTCAAACTGTATTGTGAGTTTTGGTTAACTCATGAGACTAACACCTCAGATCCTAAGAATGTTATGGTACATGTATGGAACTGGAGAGCGTTATGCTAAGTGAAATAAGTCCTACAGAGAAAGACAGATACCATATGTGTTCACTCTTATGTGGATCCTGAGAAACTTAACAGGAACACATGGGGGAGGGGAAGGAAAAAAAACAAAGAGGTTAGAGAAGGAGGGGGCCAAAACATAAGAGACTCTTAAAAACTG